GTAATAAAAAAAATATATTTTGATATTGGTCCCTCAAATATTCATATTTTTCTTTAACTCTTTTAAGGAACAACTTTTACCTTGTCTTCCCTCTCCTTAGACCTCATCTCCCTCCTCTTTGCCCTAGACCATCACCGCTACACTCTCCCTCCTATACTAGGCCCGTTCTAAGGTTGTACCGATGGAGATGGCAATGGTGGCAGTACTGATGGTGGAGGAGGTAAGAATAGCAATAGGGGAGGTGAAGGAGGTGGTGATGGTGCTGTAGATGGAGGAGGTAGTGAGAATACAAATGGAGGTGGAGATGTCGGTGGTGGAGTGGTGATGGTGGCGATGGAGGAGGTGACAATAACAATCATAGAGAGGATGTCAAATATAGAGGTGATGGGGAGGAGGTGATAATACTAGCGATTGAGGGGACAATGGTGGAGGAGATATTGGTGATTGAGGAGATGAGAGATAGGGATCAGAGGGGTATATGATAATTCCCCACCTACGGTTATAGTAACCCGACCATGGTTTATTTTGAGCGATATATCTAACAGATGACTAATATCGACACATTAAGATAGGTTAAAAGACTAATATCAAAATACATCGGATGCCTATGTAAAGATGTAATATCTAAAAAACCCTAAAAGAAATTACAGAGTTTACAAAGGTTGCTATATATGATATATACTCCTCTATATAAATGGGAGAACTCATGATTCACTATTTATGCTATAATGAATATAACATTATTATTGTAACAAACACGAAAATATTTTTCTAAAAAATATTACTATAGCACACAGAAAGACTGCAACAGAGACAGGATACTGTAGCGATCCAATTTTTTTTAAAAAATTGTATCAGTTAAACCGGGATTACTATAGCAAAAAAAAAAGGAATATCGTGTAAAAAACTAGCAGTAGTAAAGAAAGAGCCAATAATTACGTTGCTTAACCATTTCAAAGCCCAAATAATCAAAGATCTAGACCAATTACCACTCTACTAATAAAGTGTGTCATTATGACACATCACTCTTGACGCTCGCTCTCCTCTTCTCCCCTCTCAAACTGAAGTGTCCCTGTGAACTCCCAAGCAAACCTCCATCAAAAAAGCCAGACAACCCAACAACCACCACAGCACCCAACACTCATTCGCCCCCCTATCAAACCTATTTTATTCCTCTCTCCTCTGAAAAACTGCAGTCCCAACTGGAAACACCGAGCACAGTTCACAGTGCAAGTGAACAGAACACAACAAAAACCCATGTGTCGTAGTCTCTTATATCCCCTCTCTTGATCAATTCTTGAAGAAGAAGAAGAAGAAGAAGAGGCAATAGTTAAAAAAAAGAAGAAAAACCAACAAGAAGATGATCACTCCATCTGATTTCTACCATGTGATGACGGCCATGGTTCCCCTCTACGTGGCGATGATCCTCGCCTACGGCTCCGTGAAATGGTGGAAGATCTTCAGCCCCGATCAATGCTCCGGCATCAACCGCTTCGTCGCGCTCTTCGCCGTCCCTTTGCTCTCCTTCCACTTCATCTCCTCCAACAACCCCTTCACCATGAACCTCCGCTTCATAGCCGCTGACACCCTTCAAAAGCTCACGGTCCTCCTCCTCCTCTCCCTCTGGGCCAACCTCAGCCGCCGCGCCGCGGCTCCCTGGAGTGGACCATAACCATGTTCTCTGTATCCACTCTCCCAAACACCCTCGTCATGGGCATCCCTCTGCTCAGAGGAATGTACGGCGATTTCTCCGGGAGCTTGATGGTCCAGATCGTTGTTCTTCAGTGCATAATCTGGTACACGCTGATGCTTTTCATGTTCGAGTATCGCGGCGCCAGGATGCTCATCGCCGAGCAGTTCCCAGATACCGCGGGGTCGATCGTGTCCATAAATGTGGATTCGGACGTCGTGTCGCTTGATGAGGGCACGGATTTAACGACGGGCGGAGGTGAAGAGGACGGAGGATAACGCTGACCCGTGCGGTCAGCGCGTCGAGGCGACTATATCGAGGGGTCAGCGGGTTGTCGGCGTGCTCCCGGGCGTCAAACCTGACGAATGCAGAGATTTTCGCTGGCGTCGCGAGAATCCGACCCAGGGTGTCGAGCTCAAACAAGACATGTATTGCTGCCGTTGGAGGCGGCTCCAATTTCACAGCGACGGTACGTGTTCTCGCCGAAGCCTACTGGTGCGGAGCGGGGTAGAAGGCGGATGAATGGGCAGACGCCTGCTGAAGCTGGAAGAGTGCGGGCGGCGAGGGATTTACATATGTCGTTCTGTAGGGCTCAACGGCTCGCCGGTGTCTGATGTGTTGAATAAAGCTGACGCAAAAGATGTTCGCGTCGCAGTCTCGCCGAGCAAGGGTACGTCCTCTCGCTCTGTTGATGATATATATGCCGCTACTACTAGTGCTAGCTAGTTTGTACGACTGTTTCTGTATTTTCCAGTGAAAGAGAGCGATGGACGTGCGGTGGAAGGAGACGAGCTCAGCTTCGGCAACAAGGAAGTGATGGATGCCGCGACGAAAGCAGGGGGGGCGACGGCGATGCCTCCGACGAGCGTGATGACGAGGCTGATCCTGATAATGGTGTGGAGGAAGCTTATCAGGAACCCAAATACTTACTCTAGTCTCATTGGTCTTATTTGGTCTCTGGTGTCCTTCAGGTAAAAATCAGACTTTAATTAGTAGTCCAAATTGAATTTCCTGATACAAATGTGCGATTAATGTTTCGTGCCTGTTGTTGACGATGCAGATGGCATGTTGAGATGCCTGCCATCCTGTCGAAATCCATCTCCATACTGTCTGATGCTGGCCTTGGCATGGCTATGTTCAGCCTTGGTACCCACCTGTGTCCCTGAATGAGTTGTTCCTCTGGTGTATTATTAATGCAGTGAACATAATAAGATCGCCGGATACATTTTTCATCGGCATACAGATCAATGAATCCTTCCTTCATTAATGTTGCAGGTCTGTTCATGGCGTTGCAGCCTAGAATCATTGCATGTGGGAACCGAGTCGCATGCTTCTCCATGGCCGTGAGGTTTCTTGTCGGCCCAGCTGTGATGGCTGCTGCCTCCATTGTCGCATGCTTCTCCATGGCCGTGAGGTTTCTTGTCGGCCCAGCTGTGATGGCTGCTGCCTCCATTGCTGTGGGTCTCCGTGGTGTTCTCTTGCACGTCGCAATCGTACAGGTCTCTACTACCGACACCATCCAGTGATTGTTTCAGTGTTTGGCATTTGTTTCTCATCTTGACTGTAATGGATTTGGTTACTGTAAACAGGCTGCACTGCCTCAAGGAATCGTGCCGTTTGTGTTTGCAAAAGAGTACAATGTGCATCCTGATATCCTTAGCACAGGGTGAGCACTTCGTGTATCATTTTCTTCCCTTCAGTTCTATTAAGCATTTTTATCTCGTGGCTAAGGATATTTATGTGAACATTTTGGTGTAGGGTTATATTTGGGATGCTGATCGCATTGCCGATAACGCTGGCCTACTACGTTGTCTTAGGGTTGTGATCGCCTGAAGCATGGCAATGGAAGAAGTATTTGACTGTAGAAGCTAGTGTTTTCAATACAGAGCATGGAAGAAGAGAAAATGGACCGACTGACTTTGGAAAGAGAACTAGATCAGATTTTGATGATACATGATTATCTTAGGAAAATCATTGTTAATGATCCTCAAACGTTTCATTTAATCTTATAGATCTTTTTCTCCTTTTTTTTTTCCCCTGCTAATTTTGCTTGGTACTTTTCTCTCAAAGTTGTACTACCCTTTAGAACTGCAAATGAAATTCTTATCCTCCACAAAAGGAAGCATATTTTGCAAATGCTAGAGCTCTTTGAAACTCACCGTCTATAACAAATGTTGCAATCCTATTGTAGCAAATTACTCTTCAATTACTTGCCCAAAAAAAAAAAAAAAATTTCCTCCATTCAAACATGAAATAGTTAAAGAGTTGTTACCATAGTTTGGAAAACCATTTGGAAAACTCACCGTCTGTGTGAGGTCCGTATCTGCTGATAAAAAGATGGGGCTTCTAGAAGAGTCTATATATATCAAGCCGAATACGAAGAGGAGAGAAGTTAGTAGGAGGAGAACAATCAATGTGGGAAGCCAAAAAATGCAGTTTTTTCTCCTTAAAATTTTCAAGAGCAAAGCAACATGGATGTCTGGACCAATTCATTAACTCTTACCTCTCGTGGATAGTGGTCTTAGACTAGATATGTCGGGATGGAGGTGCAAAGGGCTAAAAAAATTTAAGAACACACACGAGGAAAAACAAAAATTAGTATTAAATGCTCAAGGTGGATGGCTGAGAGCATCTCCAACCATAAAACTCAAAATGGTGTAGTTTTTACACCAAATTGGTGTAGTTTTTACACCAACAAAGGGCTAAAAAAATTTAAGAACACACACGAGGAAAAACAAAAATTAGTATTAAATGCTCAAGGTGGATGGCTGAGAGCATCTCCAACCATAAAACTCAAAATGGTGTAGTTTTTACACCAAATTGGTGTAGTTTTTACACCAAATTACTATTCCATCTCCAACCCATTACACCAAATGTTACACCAAATTGGAATATTCCTTTTATTATTCTTATCTTTTAACATTTTTTGAAATTAAAAATATTTAACAAATTATATAATTATATAATTATATAATACATATAATTAATTATAATAAGGGGTTTTTGTCTTTAAGCCCATTTGTTTACATATCTTTATTTTTAAACCCACTCATTATTAGTTGTATTCTTAAGCCCAATTCATTTTTGGTATTTGTCTTTAAACCCAATTCTAAAATACAATACTTTTACTACTTGTATTTATACAGAATGAATGTCAAAACCCTAAAATACCCCTTTGATTGGCCCCATAAATCCCAGTGTCTCTCTCTCATCTTCCCCATTTCACCTCAGCCCATCTCCAGCCGCCGACGCCCCACTCTAGCTGCCGCCGGCGATCTCGGCCCCCGTCACCCTCTCCCGCCTCTTCAAGAACTCCCCCTCCTCCCCCAAAACCCTAACCCTAATCAAGTCCTTCGCCGCCGGCGTCATCCTCTCCACCTCCCTCGTCCACGTCCTCCCCGACTCCTTCCAGGCCCTCTCCGATTGCCACGTGGCTCCCCGCCATCCGTGGCGCAACTTCCCCTTCTCCGGCCTCGGCGGCATCGTCGGCGCCCTCCTGCCCTCCTCGTCGACGTCGTCGCCTCCTCCCGCCTCGAGGACGCCGCTCGGGCCCCAAGAACTACGAGAGGATCGAGAAGGCCGGGTGCCACGCGGCGAAGGAGGAGCTGGAGTTGGGGGTTGAGGAGCTGGAACTGGAGGAGGAGGAGGAGGGCGAGAGGCACAAAATCTCTTAAAACTTTCGATTGCTGTCGACTCTCCTATTTTAATGTATTCATCAGTAGCATCCGCTGGTAGACCATATGCCAACATTCGGAACACAGCTGTAATTTTTTGAAGCGTAGACAATCCAAGTCTACCGACCCCATCCCTTTGCTGTATAAAGTAAGTGTCGTGAGCTTTTATGGCGTTAACAATGCGAAGGAATAAATCTCGAGACATTCGAAATCGTCGGCGGAACATCGAATCATTATATCGCGGATTCTCAGAGAAGTAGTCGTTGAACAGATTACGATCAGCATTTTCTCGATCACGGTTGATCACTATATGACCAGGAATTGAGCCTCCACGAATTACTTGGTTGTTTTGTTGATTGATATAGTAAGCCATGAGAAGATTGTTGTTGTTCCTGATGCGAAACACCGCTTCCCTTTCTGCATCAATCGCTTCAATATCATCTATCAATTGTTCATCTTCAATTTCATTATCAGAAAATGATGATGACAAATTAGAAGGATCTCTATTGTTAAAATTCATTTTTTTGAAAATAGAGGTTTATGATTTTAGCAAACTCATCAATATGAGCTTTTATAATAGATGGAGATGATAAACGGGAAGTGTTGGAAGTTGAAATGTTGTCATGAAGAGTTATCATGAAGTGCTAGAAGTTGATATGTTGTCATTGATGTGTCTTTTCTTTGAAATGTTGTCATGAAGTGTTTGAAGTTGATATGTTGTCATTGAGGTGTCAACATTATGAAGTGTTTGAAGTTGATATGTTGTCATTGAGGTGTCTTTTCTTTGAAATGTTATCATGAATTGTTTGAAGTTGATATGTTGTCATTGAGGTGTCAACATTATGAAGTGTTTGAAGTTGATATGTTGTCATTGAGGTGTCAACATTATGAAGTGTTTGAAGTTGATATGTTGTCATTGAGATGTCTTTTCTTTGAAATGTCGTCATGAAGTGATAGAAGTTGATATGTTGTCATTGATGTGTGATAGAAGTTGATATGTTGTCATTGATGTGTCTTTTCTTTGATATGTTGTCATGAATTGTTTGAAGTTGATATGTTGTCATTGAGGTGTCTTTTCTTTGAAATGTCGTCATGAAGTGACAGAAGTTGATATGTTGTCATTGATGTGTCTTTTCTTTGATATGTTGTCATGAATTGTTTGAAGTTGATATGTTGTCATTGAGGTGTCTTTTCTTTGAAATGTCGTCATGAAGTGACAAATATTTGATATGTTGTCATTGATGTGTCTTTTCTTTGATATGTTGTCATGAAGTGTTTGAAGTTGATATGTTGTCATTGATATGTCTTTTCTTTGAAATGTTGTCGGTGTCATTTTTCATCTATAAATAACATATCATACTTCAAGAAACATACATCTTCTTCATTTGTGTTATAGATGACTTCAAATCAACGAAGTTCTTCATACACAAATGCTGAAGACTCACACCTCTGCCATGTATATCTTGACATTTCCCAAAATCCGATCATAGGTATAAACCAATCTAAGGATCAATTTTGGTCTCGAGTTGAGAGTGATTATCATAGCTCAATGCCTGCTTTTATCACTCAAGGTCGACCCAGAAGATCTTTGTAATGTTGAATGCAAACTCTCCTAACTGCTATTGGCAAAATGAGGGGATGTGTAAGACAGGTTGAAAATTTAAATCCAAGCGGTGCTTCTGAACAAGATATTGTAAGTGTTATTTGTTACAAATATTTTTGAGATTTAATTTATGATTGAATTTTAATTTTATATATTTATATCATTTTGCAGTTCAATCGGGCTAAAGTGTTGTTTGCTCAGGATAAGAATTATAAGAAGGGATTCAAATTCGATCATGTATGGCCCATCTTGAAAGATATCGAAAAATTTGCAGATGTTAATGCTGGAATTCAAGTGGGACGTATGCAACATGGTAACTTTGCATCATCACAATCAGAGTACTCTCCCACTTCAGACTCTCCCACACAAGCATCTCCTGGACTGGCTTCATTCGATTTTAATATGAATGACAATGATTTTGGTGGTACTTCAACTGAAAGACCTATAGGGGTACGGAAAGCAAAATTTAAAAAGAGAAATGATGAAGAAAGTTCTAAGTTTATGGAGTATATGAAAGAAGAGAATCAAAAAATGCTTGCAATTATGGAAAAAAATAATGCTGATAGGCAACTAAATTATGAAATCCAAATGTTACGAGCTCAAACTGCAGCCAAAAAAGTGGACGTGGAAGAATTACGAGAAGAAAATTTAATTTTACTGAAAGATTTGACACAAGTAACTGATCCAAAACTACATGAGTTTCTTGTACAAGAACAATCAAGAATTATGCATAAAAGAACTAAACAATGTGAAGGATCTCAAAATACCGGTTCTGGTATTTTTGCCCAATATTTTGAGCATCTTCGTCCTTCTGATGATAATTTCCCAGAATACTAAAATGTTGTTTTAGTTTATGTTCAATGTTCTATTTTCCTTTAATTTTAATGTATTGCAATTAGTGTTAATTTCCAATGTTGTTCTAGTTTATGTTCAATGTTCTATTTGGTTCTAGTATTATGAAATTTTAAGTGTTTGGATTAAACTATCTATTTTTTCCATTGTTGAATTTTATTTTAATAATTATTTTATAATCTAATTTTATTATAATAGTTCATATCAAAATAATTAAAAAAATAAAAGCTACCATGAAATATTTTGATCATGAATAAAAAGAGAAACATTAAAAACCAACAAAATAATAATGATGGGATGAAGTCCGGTTGGAGAAGCTCTGAGGGTCGCTCCTCTCAGCACTCAGAGACCGCTAGATTTGATTGCGATGAGAGGGATCTTGTACCTTCTCTACCGTGTAAAACACCGTCATACGTACAGTCTATTTTCTTAACAGCCAGACAATTTTTGTGATTCATTAATATTTACTATTTTCTTATATGATTGACGTTCTTTCACTTTCTATTATTTTTCTTGTAGTTTGGGAAAACCCTAGTGAGATTATTAGCTCTAGGATGCTATTTATAGTGTTTAGGGAAGCAAAAAAAAATTGTTCCTACTCGATGTGAGACTAAACAAAAGTAAACACTACTCTCAACAGCTACTCTCAACACTCCCGCTCAAGCTGAGCATACATATCGTACATGCCTAGCTTGTTACAAATAAAATTCACTCATGTTCTCCCAAGAGATTTAGTGAGAATATATGCAAGCTGATGGTCTAATGGTATGTACTTGGCTCTAATGATTCTATTCTCCAACTTCTCACGAATCAAGTGACAATCAATCTCTATGTGCTTTTTCCTCTCATGAAACATCGAGTTCTGAGCTATGTAAATGGTAGCCTTGTTATCTTCATATAAGCTCATGGGACACTCCAGAGGATAACCAATCTCTGTTAGTATATCTCTAACCCAGATCAGCTCACAAGTCAAATTCGCCATGGCTCGATACTCAGACTCAGCTATAGATCGAGAGACTACACTTTATTTCTTACTCTTCCATGATATGAGATTCCCTCCAAGAAACACACAATACCCAATAGTTGACCGTCTAACCTCAGGAGATCCGGTCCAATCTGCATCTGAGAATCCTGCAATTCTCGTGTGACCGCTATCTAAATAGATTACTCCTTTTCCTGGAGTTTTTTTGAGATACCTAAGAATCCTCTTCACAGCTTCCATATGAGGTTTCCTAGGTGCCGAGAGAAACTGACTGATTACACCAATAGAATATGCAATATCCGGTCTCGTGACTGTTAAGTAGTTTAGTTTCCCTACAAGTCGTCTGTATTCTTCAGTATCCTCCAGTAACTCCCCCTGAATCGATAGTAATTTTGATTTTATCATCCATAGGTGAGTCAATGCCCTTGTATTCTGTCATCCCAGTATTTTAGCAGCATATAAAATAAATATTCTGTCATCCCATTATTTAGCAGCATATAAAATACATATTTCTTCTTGCATTGTCGCTGTCCAACCTGGGTTAGACAGATTTTTTGACAAATTCTTGAGAACTGAGTGAGAATCCAAAGAAGATATGAATGAGTAATATGATAGAGTTAACGAAGCGTAAGAGAAATAGTGTGTAAGAGGATATCGAGAACTTTGAGAACAATATATCTTTTCCTTTCGGATGGCAATGGGGAGATCATCAGTAGCCTGAGCACTTGGCTTTATGGGCACATTTTGACTTGCTAGTGTATCAAGCTCTTGGGTGGATTGAGACGATGGCTCATGTTGTGAATTAGCACGTCTTGGATAAATCTGAACTTGTTCCATAAATTTGGATGGTAGTTCAGTCTGTACAGCATTGATAGTGGTTTTCTGAACAAGAAGATAGTCATAATCATCGGGAGGAAATAAAGATAGTCATAATCATCGGGAGGATATAAAGATTTATCAAAGGCAACATGTCCTGATTTGTTCTCAAAGAAGACAACATTAGCTGAAATAATATATCGATTCAAGTATGGACAATAAAATCTGTACCCTTTTTGAGTCAAAGAATATCCAAGGAATATAGCCTTAAGAGATCGCGGATCTAATTTTGTCCGTTGAGGACTATGATTGTAAACAAAGAACAGAGATCCAAAGATTTTAGGAGGTAAATGAAAAGCATCATCAGCTGAATATAAAAGAGATATCAGGGCTTTATTCTGTAAGAGAGATGAGGGTAGTCTATTGATCATGTAGCATGCTGCCAAAAAGGCATCGCCCCAAAAATATTTTGAAACTTGGCGATGGAATAACAAGGTCCTAACAATTTTTAGCAAGTGTCGGTTCTTGCACTCAGCAACCTCAATTTGTTGGGGTGTATAAGTACAAGAAGAATGATGTAAATTTTTATTTTCTTCTAAATATTTTATGAAAGAACTCTCAAAATATTCCTTAGCATTATTTGTCCTTAAAGTTTTGATAGTACTGTAAAATTGATTTTTAACCTCAGCACGAAAAACTTTAAAGGCAGAAAACACTTCAGAACGATTTTTTAGTAGGTAAATCCAAGTCACGCGAGAAAAGTCATCTATGAAACTAACAAAATACTAAAAACCGAGTTTGGATGGAACAGAACAAGGACCCTATATGTCGGAATGTACTAAATCAAAAGGGTTACTGACATGCTTATTGGCATGACTCGGGTAAGACACCCGTTGATGTTTTCCGAGTTGACATGACTCACACTCTAAATACTCGACCCGATTTAAATCTAAACTCAAAATTTTAAGAAGTGAAAGAGGGGGATGACCAAGCCGATAATGTGCTTCAAAGGCTGATGTGATACATGCCACTTGGGAAGAGGCAAATTTCAGTTCGTACAAGCTGTTCCGTTCACGTTCAGTGCTAATCGTCTTCCTCATCCCAATTTCCTGAAAAATACAATATATAGGAAAAAATGTGACCATACAGTTTAATACTTTAGTAATTTTACTTACAGATAAGAGACTAAATGGAAAACGAGGAAGATGTAGCACAGAAAAAGATCAAAGGGTATTAGTATTGGTAGATCAAACACCCTCCACAGGTGTGGTGGATCCATTAGTCAATACTACTGAAGGAAAGGAGGTCGTAGGTGTATAGAAGGATAATATACCTCGGTTCCCAGTCATATAATTAGTTGCTCTTGAATCTATAACCCAAGTATGAGACGATGATGATGTAAGGCAAGCAGTGGGTATATTGTTAGGTCTCATGTTTATGAGCCTATTGTCTAATCTGGTTTTTGAGTATTTGCTTGTTAGGTATCCTACACAAACATTCTCCGTTGGAGGTTAGAATTGCACTTAACGAATATATCTTGGAGGTTGGAAGGAAATCGGAATGAAGCCCTTTGCGCATTCAAGTCAAAGATTTTCTATTGCGCTTCATCCCCTGCTACCAAGATCGAGCTTCACGAAGATTGCTAAGCTTGGTATAGTTTTTGTAGTTTAGGTTTGTTTGGGTGGGAAATTGATTTCTTTATTGTATAACTTATTACAACTTCATTCGCTACAACAAGTTCAAAAAAAGATCGGTCTTTTTATAAGACCTTTACACAATGAAATTAAAATTACAATCTCCTTCAAACAAATACAACAGGTGTTTATTGCCCGCTGCCTACATGGGATCTTTGCCTGTGATGGGAACGTTGATATCCATGGACCACCAAATGATTGAATCAGATCCAGAGCTTCATTGATTCACGAAGGAATCAAGAAACTAAAGTAATTATCTCGATAACAGCGAGATAATCACTCTTCTCGAGATCACCGCAACGGGGCAATCTCAAAGGAAGGAACCGGGCTGTAGATTTGACGAACTCCTCTTATTTATGCCAAAGAATTCGCACATATCTCCTCCTCCCTGAAATTCATGGCTCTTTAGCCCACAGTTCGGCAGGGCTTCGCTAACGCTCGAGAATTCTAGATCTTCAAAAAATAAAGGCCCTGGGGCTTAGGGACCACTGTTTTCGGATAAGAATGATCGATTCGATCTTATCTTTAGTTGTAACGACTTAACCATGTTCATGAATGATATCAGATCAGTTGAAACAAATCTAGGCGGTTAACGGTCAAAAAACGGCTTTAAACTGCCAAAATCTGATTTTCGGGTCTACGGCCACCCGTGGGTGTCTCGGCTTGGCCGAGATACCTTGGGACGTCTCGGCCTGACCGAGACACCCTTGGGGCATCTCGGGTGTCTCGGCCTAGCCGAGACACCTGTGGGTGTCTCAGCCAAGGCCGAGACACCTCTGGGTGTCTCGCCGAGGCCCAGAACGTAGTTCTGCATGTCTTATCCGTTTCAGCCGTATCTTCATCGTCCAAATTCGGAATCGTGTGATTCAAGATGCATCGAAAAGCCGTTGAGATGATCTACAAACTCTCATGATTGAATCATCTGTGGAGTGGACAGGACAGGGGGTGTTTTGTCTTTCGTAAGTGACGCGAAGCTCCCGATCAGTTCGTGTTTCTGTTATTCTGAAGTTCCATTGCTTCGCATGGTTCATTGACTCACTTCATGCGCTTGTCAATATCGATTAAGCTTCTATGACTCGGATAGTAACGTTCATCGTCTTCTCTGTGACTCGAGCTGCGTGTGAGGGCCCATAGGCAATTTTAGATGCCTACAGATAACCCCTCCAAAGTGTTTCAGCCGCATTCTTTTATAGAGGAGGTTAGAATAATTTGGATGTGATCGGTCCAACCTTCAGTTGGTATAAAAGGACCTGTAGTTAGCTTTGAATCTTGACTCCTTCAATTTTCAATCTATTCGATATTTTGACGAATAGTTAAAGTTCTTCCGACGCTGTGTTTATCGTCTGGCCGTCGTCGAAGTCTTGAATCAAAACTGGTGAGTTGATTTTGGCTCGTGCTATCGAGTTGACTTTGAACTGACTACCTCTGCCATAATATATTAGCTTAGGGCTACGTGTTGAACGGCATTGTTTCAGATTGCCTGGCGTTAACTT